CCTCCATTTACACTTAGTCCATAGTGCTTGCTGGTCACCACAGAAACACTAGCAGGTCCTTCACAGTGTGTATTGTCTCTTCACGGGACACTGACAAGTCAGTCATTTGTGCCTCCCCCTTCTAAATTCATGTATGGAATTCTATGCAGGGAAACCTCTATTGCTATGATAAAATAATCATATATGGCATAATGTTAAACTTCTGTCATGAAGCAGAAAATGAAACATAATTTTAATTATATTTTAAAACTGCCATATTTAGAAAATTGATAATTCAGTATTTACATTTGGAACTAAATAAATTTAAAATTTATTAACACACAATTACCCTTTTCATTTATCATTTTTAAATAAGTGTGTCCCTAAATTTTTATCATTAAATTTACCAGTAAATTTTGAAAGATGATATAAAGCTAATTGTTTTATAATTCTTATTATACAATAATTTTTTGTGTGTTTGTGGTAGATAAGCTCATAAAATGTATTCAGTACAGAAAGAAGAAATTTTAATGTGAACCTTCACAGCTTCTGTTTTGAATTCCTATTCCAACCCTATAGAAATTCATTGAATTGTATAGATATCAGGTGTGGTTCATTTCAGTATGTGTCTTTTTTTATTTGAAGTTTTTCATAATACAATTTATAAAATTTAAAGATGTCAAATAAGACTGCTTGGCTATGTTTTGCAAATAAAATTAATATCTGGAAATAAAATATTGGGAACAAAAATTAAATTCATACTTATGTATTTATTCTATTTTGTGCCACTCTTTGAGATAAAGAAAACTTACATTTTATTAATAAAATCTAGAAAAGACTTTTTATTTCATATCATTTGGGGTATAGAAAGTTGATTCAACCTTAGATAAGCAAAATCTCCCCAAACACCTTCTAAACAAACAGAAAAATTATTTGCTGAAACCACAGTGATTCTTCCTAGTGAGGCCAGTGTTACAAAGAAAAACTGTCTGAAGACCACATAATTTAAAATATCTGTTTACTAATTCATTTATCTACTTGACTGAAATATATTTGGTCTGTTATAATTTAACTTTTAAAAGATAAAACATGGTACTTGCTTACAATGATTATCTAGGTCTAATTTTGAAAAGATACTTCTGTTTTTCTGTTTTAAAAAGATAGTGTATCACAGGGAGGTGGTGGTGCATGCCTTTAATCCCAGCACTCAGGAGGCAGAGCCAGGCAGATCTCTGTGAGTTCGAGGCTAGCCTGGTCTACAGAACAAGTTCCAAGATAGGCACCAAAACTACACCGAAAAACCCTGCCTCAAAAAAAAAAAAAAATACTATATCAACAAAAATTTCATGTCAAGTAAACAAAATTATCTTTAAAAAATGTAAACAGTATTGATATTTTCCTCATCTTGTCTCTATACTAGGGTAGTGAGTTTTGACAGACCTGATTAGCTTGTGTAATCTTGATTTCCTCCCCGTGAAGTTTATTGGATCAAAATTTATGTTTTCTTCAATTCTGTATAAACAAGAAAGAAGACAGTGTGCCAGTTGATACTGATTTTCTGGAGATGGGGGGCGGGGGGAAGAGAGAGAGAGGCTTGTAAAAGTTATATTTATGATATCAGTTCATAAGTTCAGAAATGTAGGAGCTTCATCTGCCAGGAAATTAGGGCAAAAATTAGTCTGATCACATAATAAATTCACATAATGAGCCTTCCTCCTCCCTAAAGCACAATGCGAAAATAAAAGCAAATTTGAAACATGTTCAAGGTTGGGTGCTTTAGAAGAATGACCAAGAGAGCAAATGATTGTCTCAGTTTGTCCAAGTTATTTTTTCGCCAAAATGTAACATAATCATTAATGCATGGAAGAATTTCTTTCTGCCCACAATTCTGGCACATGCTGTGCCCTTAGGTGGAAGATGAAAAGGACAGTACTGAGAAGTTCAAGATCTATTAGTTCCCTCGCTTTGAAATGCCTCAAATCACAAAATGACATGTAGCTTCTTTTACAGTGGGATCAAAAGAAACGTTAAGACAGCTGTGTTTGGAGCACATGTATTGTTTTAAGCAAGTTTACGGCTGAATTTTAGGAATCACAGACCAGATGTTGACAATAGTAAGACACCCCCACATGTGCTGAAGAGGGAGAATGAAAAAAAAAAAGGAGGAGGTGTTTTAACAGTTCAAAGCACATTGATTAAAACAAAGAAGCATATAAAACACAATAATAGGATATCATGCACAAAGTCTCGATTCTATAAATCCTAGAATTATGATCACAAAGGATTATATTTATTTGTATTCTGATGAGTATTCTGGCTGTAACTTAAGGCATTGGACAGAGTTGATATAAACTTTGGCAAAAACGTGTACCACCACCTAGACTTTATGTATAGGTATGTCCTTGGGTTGGTTTTGTGTCATATAAGGCAAAATAATAGAAAATCAATTAAGACTAGCTGAGCTATTATCCATATTTGGAGAGTGCTATAAAAGGATCTAGGAAGAGGAAAAACACAATTATTAACAGGCTGTATTTAAGGCAATGGTGTTGCAAAAGGCAACCCTGGCATATGGAAGCTAAAATAGGATCTGAATGTAGGAGGTGAAGGGCTCAAAAACTTAAATAGGATCAAGAAGCAAGCAGCATCTCCCTTGATGTACAACCAGGGATCCTATTAAATGGAAAAGAGAAGCATCCATTTTTCTGGTTTTTCTCTATGTAGTTTTGCACCTTTCCTGGAACTCCCTCTGTAGACCAGGCTGGCCTCAAACTCACAGAGATCCACCTGCCTCTGCCTCCTAAGTGCTGGGATTAAAGGCATGTGCCAACTACTGCCCAGCAGTGAAGCATCCATTTTCTAAACACATAAGATTTCTGCTCTCTCTCTCTCTCTGTATCTCTGTCTCTCTGTCTGTCTCTGTCTCTACCTGTGTGTGTGTGTGTGTGTGTGTGTCTGTCTGTCTGTCTGTCTGTCTGTCTTAAATATGTTCATTGTCTCATTAGTCAGCTCCATCAAGGTATACCTTAAAGATGAAAAATTTTGTTCTGAAACATCCCAACAAGATGCTGTGATCTTGACCAGAATCAGCTCTTCAGATCTCCAAGTTCCCCTTCTGCATTAGTTCTTGTAACAGAAGATCATCTGGGAAAAGTCCCTCTTCAGGATCAAAATTGTATTTATAACTAGCCTCAAGAAAATCCACTTTAATTGATGATCAAAATGCTGGATGGATTTTCACAAAAATATTATGACGTTGTGAATCTGTGAGGGCTAAAGGAAAATTAAGATAATGGAAAAATTGTAAGTCAATCAGATTCATTTTTAGAAGCATCCAAAATCATTAGCTTGGCCTCCTTATTGAGCTCTTCTAATCTGAGAGCATTGGTTGCAGAATGTCTCCATTTATTTAAATTACCCTTTATATTAAAAGTAAGGGAAGTATACAAAATAAATACATTTATGAAAATGCCATGGGAGTATGAAACAATATTATAACAAAAACATCATCTAAATGAAACTTCAAAATTAGCAAATAAAGAACACTTTCACATCTTATCTTGAATAACCAAAGGTCCGTACACAAAAACTATGTTAAATATCAAGTAGATGGAAAAGACAGACACAAAATGATAAGTAAATAAGTAGGATGTTGTTGAAAATAGATGCATAGATAGATGATAGATGATAGATTGATAGATAGATAGATAGATAGATAGATAGATAGATAGATAGATAGATAGATAGATAGATAGATGATAGGTAGATAGATTGGCTGAGTGAAATGATAGAACAGCTATAGATAGATAGATAGATAGATAGATAGATAGATAGATAGATAGATAGATAGATATAAATATATAGATATAGATATAGATATATAGATATGTATGTATGTATAATTTTGCACGCATGTATTTTGTCAAAATTTACTGGGGAAATCAGAATTTACAGAAAATCAAGTAGGCTGCTTAAAGTGTCTCAACTATGAGATGACAAAATATTTTCTACTAAAAGATTAACATTTTATCTTAAGAGTATGTGGATCAAAGTGGCTCCATTCATCATGTATTTCACACTATTGCATCATCCACTGTGTATCTGTGCTGGATACATTAGGCTGTATTGGCACATAGCTGAGTTTCAGCCACCTCTGCTGGATAGGCTGGACCATTTGAAAGGTCTTGACACTTCCTTCATGTGGTCTATCTTCCTCCAGTGATCCAGTTCATCTCTTTTACATGACATCATGACAGCTTTGTAAAGCAGCCAGAGAGGAAAATATCATATGCAAGCACTTTTGTAGACTGTAATTCCATCAAAGGAACTACCATATCAACAACTAAGTAAGTCATATGATCAAGTCTAGATTCAACAACTGAAAAAGTCTTTATCCTATGATAGAAACAGAAACAAACCAACAGAGATGTGCAAAGAGGGACAGATGACTTTGTGATACTTTCGGGAAACCTACCACACAAAGGTGTCTAGAGTCTCATAGAAACAACACTATCATTTGTATGTGTATGTGTTAATGGTATGCATTAGCATTTACCTTTCATTTATATTTTTCCTAATATTTTCTCTTGAGTTAAATAGAAGACCAAACCTGTGTGGGGATTGCAAACTTAAACCTAAAGCATAGTACTTGATTTGTCCTTGCAAGTCTATGTCTGTAGTTATAATTTGCTTGAAAATTTTAGTTTTATCTGTAGAGAAATTGCCCACACAGTGTTTTAAATCTGAATTATTACTAACATTTGAAAATATGGGAGTGCATGGAAAAGTCTGGATTCCTGGCATTTTTTAAAATATCAAAGAAATTGTCCACACTAGACTCACAGGGCCACCTGACAATTCAGTGATAATATGAGTTCTTTATAAGGGGTTGGAGTTCTTAATTTATCAGCGTGTTCATGTGTCTCCTAATATCCCTCTCCTCACAGAAGGTTGGGGAGAGAGAGAGAGTGGGGTGGGGAGGGAGGGAGAGGGAGGGAGGAAGAGGAAGGGAGGGAGAGGGAGAGGAAGAGGGAGAACACAAAATGGGTGAGTAGACACTGAAACACTGATTTTGTTTCTGTTTTTAACTCAGTATTTCTTGACTTGGTGAACCTTATTTTAATTATCAAGAAGAACCCTTACCTTTGACTTAAGAAATGTTACTTTATGGTTAGTAATTAAGGTCATTAACATGTCTTGAACTTGACATCACCAATTAATTAACAGTAAGGTTTTGTTCACTTGGGAATTTATTTAATTAAACATAATAGGTCTGGCAGTATATGCCAATGGTGGGTGGGGGTAACTCTTCACAAAGACAGAGAAAATCAGAACTTCAATTGCATTCTGTCTCTATGTGTTATATGCAAGCAAATCATTTAATTCCAATGAATTTTTCCACAGGTTAGACAGAAATAATAAGAGACTTCATAACATTCTGAAGGATACCTTTGGTATTTAAAAATAGGACAGATGGAATAAGTGCATTTTTGGTGGTGAGGGAAGGTTGGAAATTCTTTAAGTGTGCTTCTGATGCTGGTGCATTCAGCCCCGATGGTTGAATAGTAGAATCAGCATGAGAATCTTTACCAGCATCCTGGACTTGTCAAACCTGTACTAAAGAAAAATACTTATCTGATTGCACCTAGTCTCAGGGGAACAGTACCAAATCACCAGGCACGATCAAAGACATTGCTTTTCTCATTTCTAGGCATCCTGCCATAAACATTGCCAGACAGTTTCCCACCCTACCCCACATTTTTTTAAGCTGTGCTCTTTACCATCTCAAGATTACAAAGCCATGGTCACATGTGAAATTTTATCCTTAAATTCTGCCTCAGAAAGATAAAGCAGGTGTTTGGATATTTCAAGGATGTTTTAAAAATAATATATTACTTTCACTAAAACAAATTTTAAAAAATAAGACAAGAGCCGGGTGGTGGTGGTGGCAGACACCTTTAATCCCAGCACTCAGGAGGCAGACAGAGCCAGGTGGATCTTTGTGAGTTCGAGGCTAGCCTGGTCTACAGAGTGAGATCCAGGACAGGCACCAAAACTACACAGAGAAACCCTGTCTTGAAAAAGAAACAAACAAACAACAACAACAACAAAAGACAAGTAAGCCATATTGAAGCTCCAGAACTTAGTTAGCACCCTTGCGTCATTGCACCAAGATATTTCATGTTTTCTTGCATACTGAAGTGCCTTCTCTCTTCCTTCATGAAATGCTCCTTCCAGAAATCAAGCTTCCATACCACAAGGAAATACACAGAGCCACATAGAAAGGAATTTGTGAGAGAAAACACTGACTTACTTTACACATACATTCAGTCACTAGTCACATCTCTAAGGTGTCATCAACAAGGTCACAACAGAACTTCCACTAATCCATGTGCCTTAGACAACATGAAGTTGAAAAGATAACTCACGTGATTTGGCTTTGAGCACTGCTGGCCTCTATAATTATGAACAAATAACACAACTGGTATTTGGAGACCCTTAGCTAAGGATCATAGCTTTGTTACATAGTGGCAAACAACAGAAACAACCCTAAAACATATTATTGTGGCTGACAATGAGTTTGCTACAAAAATCCCATTCTCATCTCTTGGAATGAATTGTTGTGATGTTTCGTTTTCAAGAAACAAAGGGTATCCACATGGATTGAGAATTAAACCAAGGATCTTGTCCAAGGAAATCCCTGAGTTATGAAGAATTATTGTTTTTATTTAGTTTTTTTTTTTTAAGTTTTCCATTGTTCTTATGTGAAATGGTTTGTTTTGGGAAAAGAGTTCATTGCTAGGGGCAAGTAGAGGGTCTTCTCACTCATTTCCAAAGATTTGCCCAATTTCAAGAGTCTTTTGGGGACCCATTTGCAGTAACAGGACTGAGAGAAGGAAACTGAGAAATGAGCAACCCTGTTTCTTTTTCTATTCTTTTGGCAACACTTGCTGCAAGACCCTGGTGTCTCCTGTCTGAAATGTGTAAACTCACTCAGAGAAACTCAAATCCCAATAAAGATATTCAGCTGCTATGTGAAGTCACACATTCTCTAGCTAAAGCTAATAAATGAATCACACAATTATCTTTCCTTTTATGTGAACATTTCAATTGAGAATGAAGCACAGCAGGGTGCAGACAGCAATTCAGGATGTAACTTTCTCTCTTTTTTTTTAAAGCAATATTTTCAGCCCACGTTAAGGCATCTGTGTTCACCGACTCAAAGCATACATGGCAGTGAACACAAATACATTCACATATGCAGATGAATACACAATCATGAGCAGGCTAATTTGGAAACAGGGTTTTCAGTTAATGGATGTGTTTTATGCAATGTTGACATCTACTTTGTAGTACAATCTAAGGCTTTGAAATTACTTTACTTCCCTGCTGATGTAAACTGTCTTATGCTACAAAACTCTCAGTGACAACTCCTTTTAATAGGTTTCAGAAATTAATCATGCCTTGTAAATCATGGCAAGCACAATCATTTTCTAATGCAGAATCCTAAGGTGCACATAGACACTTGAGAAAATGAATTGATAACAACCTGGAAAGATGGCAATTTGGATTCTTCTACTCTATATAATAGATCTTTTTTTAAAAGGTTCCCTAATCAAATGTTTCTCACTTAAACTCATGTGCATGTTAGTGACACTGTAAATAACTTCCTTCCACCTAGTTATAAACTACATAGTCTTTGCCAAGAAAAGATGTTTGCTGTCATCATCAACAAAACGAGTTAAAATTGGGAAGATAATTAGTCTTGAGCAATGCTTTAATATGAATTGAAAATAACATCAGAAGAGGAAGTTTAGTCTAGTTCTTACACGTTCATGGTTTAAATTTCAATGGAAATGAATTAAATAAAAATTTCCAACCAAATCCCACAGTACTTAGCTGTAGTGCTCAAGAATGATATAGCTTAAGAATCTGCAATGACACAGAATTTCTCTATGCTTTCATTAAGTGCAAATGACTCACACCTTGTCAGGTCTTAACATGTCTCCGATTGAGGTATTACATGAATATCATCTTGCAATTGAGACAACTGAAGCCTAGCAAGGGCAAATAGCACGGACAAGCTACATTCTGCTACATACTGTAAGCCATGAAGTATGCAATTGAGCCTAGGCATTACTGACTCACTGTCTAAATTGTGTCTATCTTCCCATTCCTGTTCTAACATTAGAAATCTAGGCTTCTCTGGTGTATTCAGGAAATGACAACATTGTTAATTTCTACCTCAGGGAAGCCAAAATATAACCACTGAC